TTTTATCTTAGTGAAATCTTCTTTCTTATTTTCTTTACCTTTTTCTTTTATTTCTTTATTTCTTTACTTCTTATTTTTCTTCTTATTATTTATCAATAAACTATCTTATTATTATCTTATACATCTGCGTGGTATTATATATCATTGTCTGAGTGACATTATACATCTGAGTGATCTTATAAAACCTGAGCGATTGTATAAATCTTTGTAAATTAAGGTAACAGTTAGGCCTTCGTGAAAACAACAGTCGTTGTGACTCTTTGGAAATACATTAGTCTTAGGGAGTTACAATTAAATACGTTTGGGTGGAACCAATTATAAATCCAGAACTTGAGAATAAATCAGTAGATTACTACGTACATTAAAAAGAAACAACTCTCAAACACCTCATTTAACTGTAGCGATCTACCAAAATCACACGTTAATAATATATTTATGAAGTTTTATTTGATTTAAGTTGAGTTAAGTCAAATTTAAATATAACTCAAGTAGAGTTAAGTCAATATTTTAAAATTTTTTAACTCAACTCGTCTCAACTCAAATTTTTTGATTTAAGTTGAATTATCTTTAAAATTCAATTTGACTCGACTCATTAGAAGCTCTATAAATATAATAATACATTTGTTTTACTTAAAATTTATAGTATAATGAGATATTATTATATTATTACATATAGATTTTATATTATTATATATAAATATTATTATACTATGATACTAAAAATATAAATAATATTTGTAATATCTATTATAATATAAAATAAAGAGATTTATTAATTAAAATCAATATATAAAGCCACTTTAATTATAATTGTTTTAGGTAAAAGATTTTTTATCATTATAAGATATTACTATCATATAATAGTATTATTATATTTAACTTTGACTATATCATTTATTCTAAGTAATTTTATTAATTTATTTTTATTTATTTTATTTTTACTTTAATTTATATATTAATTTTTTATGATTTTCAAATTTTTTTTACAAATTAATTTTATTTTTATTTATTTTAATATATACAAAATATTTATTTGGTTTATTTTAAATTATTTAATTTCAACTTAACTGAATTTTATTTCTTTATTTTTTTAATTTAAATAAATTATCAGAAAAGATTTTATTTTTATTTATTTTTATTATTGTGATTTTTATTTTAATAAAATAAATCTAATATATATATTTTTTTAATTAAAAACTATTAAAATTCCAATAATAATTTTTTCTTTCATTGCAAATTTATTTTTTAAAACTAGTGAATAAAGGGTTAGTTATTTTTATTATTATTTGATTATTTTTTAATGTTTAATTTTTTTGTTAGAATAGAATAAGAAATTTTATTAATTTTTAACTTCTTCAATTTTTAATTTTTATTTAATTTGATGAGAAGTTTTTTATTTAATTGCCAATACTATTTTTTATATTAATTACTGACTTTTTTTATTAATTTTTAGAAAAATCTTAAAGCTCAATCACATGACTCTTAAATTATAATAAATAATATTTCTGTAATATATTATAGAGATATAAAAATTTCTATTTAGAGTAAAAAAATTAATTATTTACAATACTTTTTTGTGATAAAAATAAATAAATAATTAGCAAATAATTGATAAATAATTATTGTAATATATGATAAAATTGAAATATTTAATATGCTAACCTTTTTCTCTTTCTTTCTCATTAGAATTTATCTAAGAATTTTACATAAAAAATGTGTTTATTTAAAGATAAATACAGTTTAACTTGAAAACAAAACAAAAAACCTACTTATTAATTTTTTTGATAAATAGCCTTTTAGATAATTAATTATATTATTATACATACAATATTAAATTCATTTTTCATTTAATATATTTATAACAAATTACATATATAATATTATTATAATAATTATTTAATTAAAGCAATCTATTATTATTTTTTTAAAATAATTTATTATTATTTTTAAAAAATATATTATTTTTGAATCATAAAAAACATTACAAATGTAATGATAATAAGATTATTTCAAATGGAAGAATAATAGGATTATTCAAATAATATGATAACAAGAAAAATAGATTATTTTGAATAAAACTTTATAAAACTTTAATTTATTATTTTAAATCAATTTTTTAATATTAATTTGTAAATAAATCTGTCAAGTTAATTTTTGACTTAACTAAATTTATAATTAAACTTAAATCAAAATCAAAAATTTCTAATTCTAGTTCAATTCTATTTAATTTAACTTATGATTTATGAGATAACATAATTCATTTATAATTATATTTAATATAATATATAGGTAATAGGCTATTAAATACATAATACAAAACTTAGTAAATTATATAATCTGTAATATTATTTAATAATTATTCAACTTTATAGTCTTTTATTAATGTCTGAACTAATAAGTTTAAAAAAAATAAATCATTTATTAAATAAAAGCAAATAAATGATAATAAAAGAAAAGTGATTAGAATTTAACTCAAAACCGATTTTTAATAATAGGATTTACAAAATATTTTATAATTAACCTTTACGTAATAATATATTTAATATATTTATTTATAAGCTTTAGTAATTATATCAAAAATACTAGATATTAAATATTTAATTTTTAAATTTATTAATTTATATTTTCGTTATTACAATGATTTTATTATAATTAAATAGGAAAATGGTGGAATTAGAAAAATGAGAAATTCTTATCATTATGTATGGCGTAAATGAAATGTTTTCGATCTAATAATTTTAGGCGACATAGTCTTCCTCGAAAAACTTTATCACATCCTGTGCAGTTTCACTATCCAATGAACAATCTAATAATTGTGGCAAGGTCGCTGTAGCCATATTATGTATGGTTTGAAGTCCTTCTTGAAGAAAATAACACTCTACATTATAATTTAAAAAATTATCAACCAAACGATTTATCGGTCCCATCTGAATTACAGTACATAGAGATCATACCATGCAATCGGAGATTTCTAGTTCCTGCTGACATTTGTAAGACAAGATGAACCCATTTGTTTGCAGCTGTCAAACTTGCAGGGTTGTTAATACATTGATTTTGTTCCTACAAGTTAAGATCAATTAATAAATGAATCCCGCATTTGAAAAACTACAAGCCATTACCATGATTAGTTGCTGAGCAATTGGTGGTTGCTTATCCGGAAATACTCCCGTAGCAATTATATCAATCACGTTAACTGCCTCTTTTGGATTATGCACAGGAAGTATGTTGATGCTAACGCATCCGAGCAATAGTCTAGTATTAAGATGAATTGATTTCGTCATTGCAATTTTTTTTTTTAAATTCGGCTTTCCATATCAAATCAAGCAAATACCTGGCTTGTATTTCATATAAAGGTTGTATATTTGAAGAATCAAGATATATCAGTAATACCGCTTTAGCGTGTCGTTGCTTTGTTCTTTGAATCCTAATAATGGAAATTTTTTGTATATAAAATCTTGACTTCCATATATATATATATATATATTGAAATACCTATCCGTCAAATTTTGAATGATCATGTTTTTCTCTCTCTCATTTCTTAAACAGTCCCAATGCTCATGAGAAAAGCACAGGAATGTAATATTTGGTTTTGGAAAAGTGATGTCCTTTTTTTATATTAAATGAATTGGTTAAATATATTGTAAAAGATTTGTAAAATCTTGAACTTGATTTCTTAAATACCCCAGGAGTTCCAGGTGTAGCTTCAATATCTGAAAATATCGAAAATATGAGAGTTTTACCATAAATAATGATTTATAAATTATAACTAACGTACATCTGACGACCCACTCTTTACTTTTTTTCATTTCATCAGACACTTTTTGCCAGTCGTCTGAAAGATTTTTATTAAAAAGAACGGCGGGTTGCAAGTTGCTTTGCATTTTAGTCGAAAGAATAAAATCGAAACTATAAAGATTGGAATCAAAAATGAGCTACTATAAATTATGGCAATAGACTTATTTTTTTTAGACTTTGCAAAATAAACTTAAACTACTGCTCAAAAAATCAATTTAATATAGGAAATGTTTGCAGTAGAACGAATGTTCGTGAATTCTCATTATTTGTCATTATATTAGTCTTTTCATTAAGTTTTTGCAATTTATTTTATTAAGAAACATCTTCTTAAGCTTTTTGTAAAGTTCGCGCTGCTTAGGCTAACAATAAAGGAATTGAAATATATATTAACTGATTTAATTCTTTATCTTAATTGGTCGCATTTTTATGAAACATTGCTTATACTTCCGAATAATGGAGTTTAGTAGTTGGTCAGGAACGTAAACGAATGGCCAGCGTTATTTCAACTTACCAACCTTTTCGCCTCCTTTAATAACCTAATTATATTTCCCAAAATTATTTGCCACATTTTCCAACGAATCTATCTCTCGGATCCAATCGATCATGGTTCCTATCTCGAATGAATACTAAATACTTCGCCCATAACAAAACTCGATAATTATTTGTCAGTGTTCTAACGATCTTCACCTATATTAGCCATTTAAGCGATGAAAATTTTTATTTTTTGGATAAATATTACAAATTTTATGATTAATCCCTTTAACACTTTCTTAACATTTCAATAATAACAAATTTCCTTTTTTTTCACTAAGGAATTCCGATTATCGAATCAGGCATATCGATAATAAGGATAACGAGAACAACCAACGGGAGAAATTATTTAATTTAGGTAAAAGCATGATTTGCGCAAGGTTTTCAGTTTAAGATGCTACTTATTGAAAACTAGAATATTTTTAAAATTGAAATATTCTCTAGATCCAAATCATATTTAATTTTTTTTTACTTGTCTGCTTAATTATTATAAAAAATTTTTTATAATATAAATAAAATGTAATTCTTTAAGAAGCACCTATTTGGAAATACTAGTCGGAAATTGACCAATTGAGTTACCCGATAAACTAAAACCATCTTTTTTTTTTTTTATTATAGTTCGCTGATTGGTTAAATTTTATCATTGATGGAGGTCGTTCAACATCATTGGTGCTTGTCGATTAGATTGAATAGTTACCTTTTTTTCTTTTTATTAGTTTTTATATTGTTTGTTTGATTATATCGTAAAATAAAGAATGATGTGGTGCATGAGCTTCATCTCAATCACTATCCAATGACATTGAGGGAGATGCCCTTTGTTTTGATGATATAGTAAAATGAAGAATGAAGAGTCGCTGCTCAAGTAATGGTTGCATTATCTCATTCACTAGAACGCTCCATGTCTAGGGAGAAAATATAATTTCAAAAATTCTATATTAAGAATTTAGGTGTTAACAATTTTTTAATCCATTAGTTTAGAAACAAAAAAATATAGATATATTATCATTTAATATCGATTCTATTAGAAGCGAAGGACTATGTACACTACACAATGCCCAATGCGGACTGGTTCTTTCCGTTACACTTGTGCTCCAGGCTTTAAACAATGGATTAAACATTTTTAATATAAACAGATTATAGTAAAAACGAACTAAACACGTGTGGTGTGATAAATAGCCACCTGTATGACAACGTAATACCAGGAAATTTATGACCAGTAAATTAGAAATTTTGCCCTGAACTATTAAAATTCTTTTTATGAATTAAATATATCACACAGTTTTATTAGATAGAATATGTTGCAATAAAGATGATGAAATCAAAATATTAAGAGATTAAGGTTTAACAAAGGTAGAACTTTCATGCAAAGCAGTAACGTATAATTTTTAAGATTATTTAATAAATTTATGAATTTACGCGTAAATAAACGGGCATATGCCCAATTATAGATTTAAGTAATAAGCAATTCTTCAATGATTATAAATCATTCGGAATACAAGGTTAGATTTGAATCAGGGTCTGTAATATATATTTGTAATAAAAATTAAATTTAACAAATTTATCGATAATCAAATAAATTGATAGCACTTAAATGAAATCTATAGTGGAATAAGGATAGTCCTAAAGTGGTATTTTCTTACATAAATCGTGTATTTAAGGAGGTTGCGTCTTTTTTATTTATTTATTATATTAAGAAAATTAATAAATACAACACACAGAAATAAGGGGTTTTGTACCTTTAATTTCCGTTTAAGTGTCTGAGCACAAATAAATTACAATTCGTTATTCCGCATCGTTAAGTTATTTTTTTTTGATCACAGTATAAAAAAAATTGTTCGAGAAATTACTATATATATATATATTTTTATAATATATTTCGTGTCATCGGAAAAAAAAATTATTTTTTTTCAACAACTTTCTTGATTTTCCACTCTTTATAGTTCGAAATTATGGGTAATAATTTTTCAAGGTTTTTTAGACGTAACAATAATGAAGGTTACTACTATGAAGGTAGACTTTTATTTAATGATGAAGAGATTGATCGAATACAAGTGCAACATCATTATTTTAGAGAATCATGGAATGGAAATTTTTCTTCTCCTGTAAAGGATGTTTTAATTGCTGGTGGTGCTAAAGTTCTCGATATTGGGTAATATATGTAATCTAGACCTTTTCTTCATTTTTATTTTATTTTCTTGTTTCTTTGTAATAAAAAAAAAACAAAATTAAAATAATCGATTGAAATTGTACTTTCTTCCTAAAATTTACCCTTTAGATGCGGGCCTGGCATATTCTTATGCGACATGGCGTCAGATTACCCAAGAGCATATTTTGTTGGGATCGATTTATTATCTAAATTTCCAAGTTTAAAGCCATATAATGTAAGCTTTGTCCAATGTAACATTTTAGAAGGATTGCCTTTTGAAAATGATACCTTCGATTTTGTATATTGTAGATTTCTTTTATTTGACATCAAAGAATTTCAATGGCAAGATTTGGTTTTACGAGAAATGTCTCGCGTAGTAAAAAGTAATGGTTGGATTGAACTGATGGAACCAAGACCCACAGTTATGAACCAAGGTCCATCTACCGAGAGAATCTGTAATGCAAGTATGTATTCTGGATACTCCCTCTTTTTTTTTTTTTTTTTTTAATTAAAAATGATTTTCTTCTTTAATTTATAAGTTCAAGCCAAAGCAAGAGGGCATAGAATGAATCCAAATATAGTGGATGAATTTGAACGATGGTTGGGATTAATAAATAATTTACAACATATAAAACGTGAAATTAAACGATTACCTTGTGGTAAATGGGCCGGCAAACATGGCGAACTTGGTGCATTGTTTATGCATAATGTTTTTAAAAAACATTTACAATTTGTTGATAATTTAATTAACGTTCCATCAAATGCTCATGATGTCGCCTTAAATGATTTTTTACAAGAATTTGATTTGTATCGTTCTTATATTGAAGTGTATAGATTCTTTGCTCAAAAAATCGATGATTAAAAAAAAAATGGAGAGAATTTAAAAAGTATGAGAGATTTTTTATTTAAGTTTAAATAAATTATCATGTTATATATAAGTTTAATTCATATGATAAATAGATTTAAAATATTTTATTATAAATTTCAATAAATTTTGATATAAAAAAAATTTATGTCTAGTTAGATAGCTAATTCAAAGTTCAAAAAAAAAAAAAAAAATTTCATAATCTGGGCGCTTTGAAGTAGAAAGGGAGGAAACTGCGTATGTAAATTTGAAAGCCAACCATAAGTTAATTAATTTAAAATTTCTGTATATATTTCGTAGTATTGAAGTTTTTTCAGACAGTTTCCTCTATTTCGACTGCGAAGCGCCCACTTCTTCTTACAACTTTCAAAAAAAAAAATAAAATTATATAATTTTTTCAATTGATCCAACTATGATAATGAAACTCTTTATAAAAGGTGGAATTAAGCTAAATATGAGAAATTAACAAAAACTAACTACGTGAAGAATGGAATTAAGAAAACTAAAAAAAAAAAAAGGGTGATAATTAAAAGAACTAAATCAAAAAAAATTCCAAAGGAGAGGTTGTCAGATTTTGGTTAATTTTTAACCAGAACCTTCCCACAAACATCATCTTTAATAATAAAAATATTATTAAAGAGATGTTTGTGAGAGGGGATGTCTGGTGCATAAATTTTTCAAAATAAAAATTTTTAAATTTTATATTAAAAATATTATTAAAGGGATGTTTGCAAGAGAGAATCTCTATGCAGATTGGATTGTCTAAATCTATTAAACAATCAAGTGTGTCTTGGCAAAAAGATTAATTGCCAAGGTGTAAATATGAAAAAAAATTTCACAAAAAAAATAATCGATCGAAGTCATTATTGACGGGGAGAAGTTTTTTTTTTTTTTTTTTTTTTTTTTTTTTCCTCTTCTCTTTAATTGATGATTTAATTGAGGAGGAATTATTGTTAAATTTTCTTTTGTTTTCATTTATTGTAAGGTTCATGATTTTTTTTTAAAAAACGAAAATGAGGAAAAACTGGGACGTTTTATAAAAAAATTTCACTAAGGATGATTTTAAATGCTAAATTCGGTCATGAAAGAAAATTAATGATGGCACAGTTTGTTTCTATTTTAACCAACAATAACATGAAATTATCTCCGTCATGTAAATCATATTTAAAACTATAATTCCGCAGGATCCCAAAAGGAGAAACAATAACATTGTAAGCATGTCCTCGTCTGTGCCGCATTCATTGTGATCATCTACATTCGCATTTTATTCTACGATGAATGGTTGCAAAGACTATCTTTCATGGATAATAAATAATAATAATAAAAATCTATACTAATAAAGGAAAAAATTTCCAATTCAAATGAACTTTGAGTTTTGGCGCAGAAATCTAAATGCGCAGAAATGCTGCGCAATACAAAAGAATTTGTTTCACGAATAATAATCGGAATTCCCGGTAAAACTCGTAACTTCGTATCGGGGATATATGGTTAGCGTTAGATGAAGTAATGCATCATATCAGTTATCATAGCTATTTTTATCCCCAACCGTTTTTATTCTTTTTCGTATTAATTAATTTTTGGAAATTTAATCAATCTACAAATACATCATTATTGATGAAGTTAACTTTCTTCTTTGATCTTTCATTCCATTTGTTCTTTAAATTTCTTTTATTTGTCAATAATATCAATTATATACGCCCAATTTGTTTTGGTTGAGGTTAACAAAGCTTTTAATCCTTTTCTAAGCCTTGCCTTTCAAGGTAAATAAAATTATTTATCACTTTTATTAAAAAAATTTATTTATACCAATCGTCTTTGATATATATAGTATTAACTATATATGCCTTATACTGTAATAATTCCAAAAAAAAACCCTGAAATTCACCATCTTTTGTCATTCTAGCTTTTCCTCCTTTGTGTAAAATTCCACAAACAAATTCCTTAACGAATAGAATAAATCGTCATTCAAAAAAAAAATTTTTTTATTTTTCCCGATCGACATTACATATTGATATTGTTCCCTGGTTATTTTTTTGTCAAACGAACAAAGTAATAAGGCATTCATCACCAATCATGGTTACTTTATCGATCGAACAACAACAAAAACTTCGAGATATTGCCAGAGAACGTAAAGAAGAAAATTTAAGGTTGGCATTAGAAATGGAAGTGCCAATTGAACAGGTAGAATTATTTCTCGGTAGAGCAACGGTTCAACGTATAGAAAAATCTCGTGAAATCTCTGGCTTTGATTTATTTAAAAAGGATTGGTATAAATCGAACCCGGGAAATAACCCTTTAAGGTCAAACCATTTGGTATCTGCGGCATGGAAAGAAGTTCCTTCTCAACAAAAACAAGGTTATCATGATTTGGCCATTAAACATAATTCAAAACCTCCTACATTAAATCCCTCCGCAAGTACCAGAACAAATGAAAGAAAAGGATATATGAATGATATGAAAAGATTGGCTGATATGTTATCTTTAAAATGCGGTGTTGAAACTTTTATTGTACTATCTTCTAGAATTCCTGGTGAAAATTTTGGTGAAATTACAGGATCTGATAAGGGTCTATTGGCCGCTGAAGATTTACGTTGGACTCAATCCTTCCTAGAATTTGGTATTAAAATTCAATATAATGACATGAACAGTGAAGGTAAGTTGTGAAAATGATCATTATTACATCTGTACAACTCTCTAATTTTTTTATTATTATCCTTTAGAATCACGTATACAGACAAGGCCAATTAAAAAACATAAGAGAAATATGAATGAGGGAAGACAATTTATTGCTCATCGCATGAAAGAGCTATATAGAGAAGTAGTTGGTTATGGTGTTGTACCTTATTCAAATTGGGAAACTGAAAAATATAAATTCGGAATTGATATCGTTGGATGGCCCGAAGGGATACCTTTTACTGCCCACGCCTTTAAGCGTGAGCAAATGCAAGAAATAATTAATAATTTAGAACAAAAGAAAATCAAATTTATTAGTACTAAGAATATTAGAGATATCCCTCCTGTTGTAGATAACAATGATCATTTTAGAGACGATTTATCATTCTCTGAATTAAACCTCATGAACCAGTAGAATATTTATATATAAAGGTGAGAGGAAAATACATTTTATTAGATTGATGATTACGTTTAATTATTCTTTTAGTTTTTTTTTAATTTTAGGTATAACGTTACGTACAAATTTAATATCATCAAAAGATTGTACATAATAAGTTTAATATTATTAAGGATTTAATAATCATGTACTTTTAACGTCTTGATATTTTTTTTAAATTATTTGTTCATTTTACTAAAAGAGCCAAGTACTTTTTTGTTAAAATTTCAAAGGAAAAAAAAACTGCGTTAAAATAAAGATTACCTTTTGAGAAATTTATAAATTCATTAATTCACAAAAGGTGTTTCAAACAACTGTATATATTTACGAAGAATTTGCTTATAAAATTTATTAACCATGAATATATTTATGACGTATGACAAGTTTAATATTATGATTAATAATAATAAATAATAATAATAATAATAATAATAATAATAATAATAGCATTAATTAAAGCATATATAATATACATTAATACAAAAAAAAGAGAAAAATAAATACATTATAAAAAATAATTTAAATGTAATATACAAAGTTGAAAATGAAATAATAATAATAATTAATTAATTAATATAAAAACCACTCCTTTGAATTCATCATCTATTATAATGCTTTCTTCCAAAGTCTGAATCAATTCTAGGATTATATGACGCAGTATTATGCCTTAAAGCTATTCTACTACTAGCCATTTGACAATTATGACAATCGCATAGATGAATTGGTGTTATGCCATCATGTGAGGTAACAAACTAACAATTAAAAAAAATATATATTTAGAATATCAAACTATAATTGCTATAAATAACAATAATATACATACTCTATCATTCCTGTAATCAATCGGCACATTGTAACTTTCATACTGATAATCTCCACCACGTGGATTTTCATTTCGTATTGTTGCTCTTCTTTCACCAAATCGAGTCGTAATTTCGTTAACACGTCCTGACGTTGGCAATGTCGTTTGCCGTGTTGAATGAGATATCTATTACAAAACGACGAAATTAAATAGAGGAAAAAATATAAATGCATGACAAAAAGATGTTTTTAATTCAGCTTACGGGTTTTCTCTCCTCGTTCATTAACTGAAAACGATTTGTCATTTCACGAACTGACGAACCACGCCTTGGAGGTATAGGATGATTATTATTGTACGGTCTTTGTGGGAACGGCCTGTCTCTCGTATCTCTCGAATCATATGATCCTGGATTTTGCGAGGGAACATAATCGTATGATTCATAATCATCATCGATATACTGTTTCGGACGATCATAATTTGCATCATTATATATCGTTCTTTCTCCACGAATGGATGAATTATAAATTAAAGTTTCATCCCGATGAATTACATCTCTGTTTGTGTATCGATTCATTTCATTTACTCTTTCATTATTATTTAGCTCTGGGCTTATTTGATAATAAACGCTATCTTCATCATATTTTCTTGAGGTCTTGTATTCTTTTCTGTATTCATCACCATCATAAGAATATTCTAGTGGAACTGGTGATCGAGAAGGTGATGGTATTTCCTTTTTTAACGAAAACTCGCTAAAGATGTGTTTAGGACTTTCCGAACATACTTGAGGTGGTGATTGATTTACTGAAGTATTTAAAGTATTGTAATAATTATCGTTATTTAAATTAGGGATAAAATTATTGTCAATTGACGATTTCTTCTCATTTGTAATCTCGATTTCATTATCCTTAATAGGTTTACTTGTTTCAAGCGTTAATTTAATTGTCTCATTATTTTCATTAGGTTTTTCAACGGGGGGCAATTCTCTTTTTGTTTTTTCGTTCTCTTCAATTTTTGGTTTCTCGATTGGCTTATCATAATCCTTTTTGTTAACATCATTTATTGTTGCATTACTATTGTTAGAAATATCATCCTTATTGGGTGGAAATGTCGACGATTTGAAAAGGTCTTTCTGTTCGGATTCCTCTACCTGCAGTTTCGCGGGTTTTTCTTCATCCTTATTTTGGAACTTGGTAGATCGTTCTTCTTGATTTATGAATTGATTACTAACATTTTGACTTGACACATTCTTTTCGACTTTGCTTTCCACGAAAACTTCAGGGTGACGAAATTCAACAGCCTTCTCATCCCGTATGAATGGATCATCATCATCACGAACTCCGATCGAAAATCTTGAGAATAGATCTAACGTTGACGAAGTTTTTAGGCTATTATTTGTATTATTTGAATTATTTGAAGGTTGTATAGGTGAAGAAGCCGTAGTTGTAGTATCGACAGAAAGTGCCGGCTGTACTATAGGAGTTGTAGGTACTGATGATGTTGCCAGACTTGAACAACTAGTGCTTTCATTACTTTTCTTGTCATGATTATTTATTCCATCCAAGGTAAGAGAAAATGGATGATGATACGTCGGCTTAGTAGTTTCAGGTGTTGTTATTACCGGAGACTTTTGTTCATGCGTTTGCACGTATCTCGTTGTAATGACATTATTTTCAGGTTCTTCATTAAACGGTAACCTAGATTCTTGTGAAAGGTTCATTGCGGCTATCTGTTTCTCCGCTATTGATGCAATAGATACTACTTTTTTCTCCGAAGTTATCGAACTCTTATCTGATTGTGATTGAGATGCCTATTTTTAATAGAATTGAAAGTTAGACAATAATTAAATAAGGAAGTCGAATTTTAAAAAAGAAATAGTTTACTTGTTCCTCCAGAAAATCATCCAAATCTTGAGGTGGTGGCATGTCCTCTCCTGCGAATGGTTCCCACTCTTTCATCTTTGTTATACTAGGTCCACATCTCTTTAATGAATCATTAAAATAAGCGAATTGACCTTCAGCAAGTCTACAGACTATTTGAGATATAATCGTGTGCGTTCGTTTTTCACGTTTCGCCACCTTTTCGGCATATTCTTTTTGTGCCTGTCCAATATTCGAACCTAGAGCTGCAAATGTTGTCATGTATTGCTTTTTTAAAAAAAAAATGGATAATATTAATGAAAACTTGAACAAAGGGGTTGCGAGACAAATTCAAAATGTTTAACTTTTTTACATTATGAGATTCTATGGAGGACTTATTATCTTTATCTTTCTTTATCTTCTTTTCATAATCTTTACTCATCTTTTTCATTTGTTTGTCCAAATCTTCAACATAATCATTATGAGCCTTTTCATCTTTCTGCAAAAAAATTTGATTTAATTAAAGAACTTTGAAATATGTTGGCTTATTTTTTTTTAAAAACAAAAATAAAATAAATACATACGGCCACTTTTTTAGAGTATTTTTCCCAGTATTTTTGAATCGCTTCGAAATCCTTTTGTAAAGCTTTATTCTATATATCAAGTTAATTTTTGAAGCATTAATTTATTAATTTGATCAAAATAATTAATGAAAAGAAATGTATAAATAAATAGATAATGTATATAAATGTTAAAATACCAGTTTTGATTGAATTTCTGTACTATTTTCATAAAATTGAGAAGTCGTCTGAAGGCACATGACTATAAAATAAAACGATCGATTTAATCATTTAAATTGTATTCATTTGATATAACACTTATACATAAAATATATTACATACCATGAATGCTTTCCATTCCTTTGCTGTTACTATAATCTTTTAATAGCTTACCAAACGTTTTCGTTGCTTTATTTAGTTTGTTCAATACGTCCCGATAAGCGTCAGAAGCTAGAACGAGGCGTTCTAAATTATCTATCGCCTTACGAACGTCATCGGCATTAGGTAATTTATCGTCCAGCTTTTCTTGAGAAGGGAAATTAATAAAAGATATAGTGGGGTTTTTTGTTGGTGACAATGGAGGGGACCCGAAGAATGTAAGACGTTTCAATGCCATGATTGTTTTAAACTTTGTTTGATAAAAATCGTTGGGATAATTGATTGATATATTTAACAAGTCATTAGAAAAGAATAACACGCATGAAACTTTTTAATAATTCTCTAAAAAAAAAAAAAAAGAAGAGAATTATATACGTGTATTCGTGCGTGCCCAAGAATTAATTTTTAAGGGTTAAAATAAAAAGGAAAAGAACAAAAAGATATGATCAAAATGAAAATGAATGTAAAAAGAAGTTAAAGGAACCCCTAACAACAGCAACATATGTTATGACCAAGAGGATTAAAATAAATATTAATAGTTAATCTCAGAACACAAGGGGGTCGATGGGAACCCTTATGACGTTGTAATAGGATTTGCACCTGAATTTGATGCTTAATATATCAACAAATATTAAACTCTAGATTTATGCATAAACCAACAAAGCTATAAAGGCAAAAGAAATTGGCTTTCCCAGTTCAAAAATCTTTTTGGGGATAATGAAAAAGAAATTCTGAATTAGTACATCGGTGCATCGATGTTCATTGTTACTAAACTCTCAATCCTTTAGAAAATCCATCAAAAATAAGCTATAGCAAAAATGGGAATTAAATCTCGACGTGATTAGCATATATGAAAAGCAAATTTTTTGTAATAAAAATAAGATTAATTTTATTTGGAAAATTATTTATATCATAAAAGTTTCTATAAATGAAAAATATTGTTGATATATTGATGATGATGAATCTACCCTAAATACCTCTGACCGAAACTGCTATGCTATAAAAAAAAAGTGGTACGAAGTGCAGTACCTATGAAAAAGACTTACAAGAAGGAATCCCTTACTTCCAAGTCTCGTAAAAAAGTAGAACCCTCAGCATCATAATATTAATTTAATAAAAATCATTTTGTGACTCCGATGTAACATAAATTGTATATATTAATATATATAATAAAGGTTTGATTTGAATTAAGAAACAAAGAACAATTATCGTTATTGTAAAATCAAGATTCTCATTTATAGAATGGATGATCTATACTAGAATCAGACTCATGAAAAGCTATAAAAATACCGTCTCAATTTTTTTTTCCCCCTCAACTACATAACTTAAATATGACATCACCGCAACTTACACCAGATTGTCTTGAAGATGTTTTCGAATATTTGAGAAATGATAGATCGTCACTTTTTTCTTGTTTACTCGTTAATCGACTTTGGTGTCGTCTTGTAATTCACTTAATCTGGAGTGATCCTTTCGCCATCGATTCCAGAGATACCTCTCTGTCCGATATTATACAAACGTACATTTCTTGTCTTCCAGATACATCAAAACAACTCATCATTAACAAAATTAGTAATACCGAGGAGAAGACGGATGAAAAAGAAGCAAATGATGATGATTCCACACTATTAAATTTTCAACAACCACTTTTCATTTATCCTGAATATTTACAAAATCTTGATTTGAAAAATTTCAATGATGCTCTCCGAGTGTGGCATAAGAAACATGACAAATCATTTGATGATTCGATTCCAGATTTTACCATTTCAAAAGTTTTAGTTGATTTCATTTTTGAGAAATGTTCAAGTATTTCTCAATTAAATGTTCACATTTGGGATAAATGGAATATACCATTATCCGAAATGAACTTTGATTTATTATTTAAAAGAAAGAATGAAAGAAATGTTTTATTTAATTTAAAAGATTTTAAATTTACATTCCTCGCAAAAGAAAGGTCGGAAGGGTTGCCAGATTCTCATCAAATTATCGTAAATTTATTTAATACTATGGAAAGAAAATCGAACAATATTCAATCAATGGAAATCACCTTCAGATTACATAAACCACCGGAACATGTTGATCGGGTTATCGGGAACTTAATTAAGAAGCAAAAAAATTTAAAAACTTTTAAAACCAATGAATATTGGGATTCAAAAAATCCGATTATCTATAACGTTTTGATGAATAAGAATAATTCTCTAACTTATTTAAATTTGATAAATCTAACTTACTTTCACGAATCTTTGATCGATGGGTTATTAGAATGTAAAAATCTAGAAACCTTGGAATTATCAAGATGCCCTGAAATGCCTTCTCATTATTTAAACTCTCCTTCAAATAATAATCTCTCTATTAAATATTTAAAATTTTTTTACTCTACGAGTTTTCAGATTTTCGAAGAATCTTTTATTACTTTACTTCAAATGTGTAATATTAATCTAAGAAAATTGGTCATCAAAGGGGTGACTGGTGAAATCATGGACGCCATCAATTTAAACAATTCACAACTCACCCATTTGTCTCTCTGCGCTCATCAACAAATTTTTGATCCACCACAAACTTTGTCCTCTTTAACAAACTTGACTCACCTTAAGTTAGGCAGTCATCAATCGGTTATTTTTGCAGTTCGTACATTACCTTATTTTATCAATTCGCTTCCTCCTTCTTTACGACATTTGTATTTTAATTTTGAGATGAGTCCATCAGCTTTAATTTTGTTCTTAGATAAATGTAAAATTCCTTTAAAAAGCATAGAGTTTCATCAGGTGGTTGTTAAGGATAATAATGTTATTGATGCCATGATCAATTATAAAAAATCAAATCAAGAGATTTGTGAAGAGATAAGGTTGTTCATAAAACAACATTTTTACTTAAGGTTGGAAGAAGTGAGGGAATATATCAATGTTATTATGGATGCTTCTAATACTCAACAAAATTATGATCTTTGGTAGGATCCACTTGAAATATATTTTATTATAATTATAATTATTTTATCCTTTTTGTTTGTAAAAAAAAAAATTAAACAAATTTTTTTTTTTATTATAACGATAATTTGAAATACAACTTTTTTATTTCTTTATTTAATAGCATTTAATAACTAATGATGGTGATGATGATATGATGATGATGATGAATTTGATTTTTATTATTATTATTTTTTTCTTTTTTTTTTTAAAAAAAAAAAAACTCACCTAAAGAAATTTTCTGACAATTTGAAAAACTTCGTACTCACTAGCCTTGAAAACGTAATTGCCAGGAGATATTCTATTCTCGTAATTTTTCTTTAAACAATGACCCTCCCAATGTCTTTTATAATTTCCCACCAAAGCTAGATCAGAAGCAAAACAAGGACCGTAATCCTCATATTGAAAGATGGCCTTTTTTGTTTCCTTAACCTTACTATGAATGGTGATTAAAGATAAATTTGAAGAATGTTTGTCATCCTGACCCAAAGAAAATATAAAACTTTTATTCGTTTTATGAAAAACCCCTTCAGGATGAGCTTCCCAATTTAAAGGATTGTAACCACCAAGTAATTCGTCTGAATGAAGTACCTTGAGAATTGTGATAGTCGGACCTTTTAAATCACACTTTTCGTGAAATATTTTGGGACCAAACCCATCTCTACTCCCCCTGACCAATAAATTAAATTCAAAAGGAATATTATACGATTGATATTCTTCATCATTAGTTAACCAACTACAAATCAATGCCGCATGTTTGGGTGTAATCAAGGTTGAATTAATATCCAGTGATGATTGAAAGAGCGTTGCAGTTACGACATCCAACTGAGACAAATGTAACTCCAATAATTTCGCATAGCATTCATCTCCAAAAGATCTTCTAAAAATTCTAACCTTGGAAGCGAATTCATTCGGTCTTATTAAAGAAAAATTAATATATGGAATAAAAGGTGAAATAATATTACCAAATATTGAAAAATCTTCAAGGGTCCAATTTTCAATTATTCGTGAAAGGGAAGAAACTTGAGCGATTGACCACTCTACGATTTTATCCCATAATTCAATTTCTCTTCTAATCAAATATCTCATTTGAAGAAGCGAGATTAAAGAATCCTGATCTATATTAATGAAATCCGTAGAATCAAAAACGATAGAAGGTTCCCTTTCCATCGCATTAAAACAAAATTCTTTCAACTTGTTAAAGTCATTATAATGTTCATCTTGGGTTGCAAATTTATAAACCAAAGCGAAATGATTTAATAATTCATCCGTGTTATGTAATAAATGATCCTCTATGTATTCTAATAAATCCGTTAAACATAATTCTTCCGCCGCTCTTAAAACATCTATATTAAATTCGACATCATTTTCTGGTAGATCGATCGATGCACCATATAAATAGTTTAATATGATTTCAAACACTTTTGGTGATATATTCGGTTTGTTAAAGATGAATATACTTCCTTCTGTTTTCGCCCAATTATTTGATAAAGCTACTCGAAAATATGTTGAACGTGCTCGTAATACAAGAGAATGTGCTTTGAAATCTTTTTCATCGTTACCTTGACCAGTGTGCAAAATAACATCAAAATATTCTCCTGTTTCTAACAGTACTTTATAATCATGAGATAATATCGATAAAAAATCTTTTGACATTATGTAAAAGTTGTCAAAAACAAAAAAAAAAAAAAAAAAAAATGAATGAATGAAAAAAAGAAATGAAGTGTGGATTTTTAAGGGAGAAATTGATGTGGCTGTAATCGTTCATTTTTATATCATTTTTTTTTATGAGCTACTGGTTAATTTGTGTTACAAATTCATTTTTGCATATCGGATCACAGTATTTGTCATATTTGACTCCACCAAAATTTTTAAGAAAAATTGACGTGATGTTTACATTTAAAAAATAAACATTTAAATCTTTTTTATCCATCCTCAATTAATATTCTAGATAGAATTATTTGGTTCATTGACAGAAATTTTTAAAAATTTAAAAATATTTACCAAACAAATATCGCCATCCCAATTTGTAATAATTCGAAAATCTTTTTGCTATTTAAAGATTTGAGGAGGTAACAAATATTAATAAAAAATCATTATGGTTTAGCCGTTAAGGATAAGGCTAGATTATTCGTGGTAAAAAGACAATATCTTTCCTCTATCACTTGGAACCCAAAATACCACGTTTGTGAAAAGAAGCAACTTCATATACAACCTTGTAGCACCAACTTTATAACGCCAGAAATACATGATTACAAAGTGATAAACATGAATTTCACTATCAAGAACCACTATTTAATCAACTTGATGGAAAACAATAAAATAAACAAACAAACAAATTCAAATCTTTGATTATTTTTTTTTGTTTTTTAACTGCTCCTATAAAAAGAATAATAATATAGAAGAATATTTAGAATATTTGAATTAAAAATAAAATTCTTATCATTTCATCATACTTGTTAAACGATATCATATCATAATTTTTAATTATAAAACACAACCTGCCATACCCATACTTGAATAAAATTATTACATTGTTATATAGGTAAACCGTCCATGAGGACCAATTTTGTCGTAATACCTGATCAAATTGAAAAAATAAAAAGAAAATGATGAGAAATGATCTTTAAATTTAATGGTTAATTAAACAATAACTACTTTGAACAACAGTTTCTTCTTTTTTAGAATATTAGGTTAAAATTTAGTGATTATTCACTTGGGTCTTTTTTTAATAATAATTAATAATGATAATGATAATGATAATAATTACGTAAACGCAACCACTCTACGCATTCTTTATTATGATTATTATTTTCGTTCGTTACATTTCAACTCCGACTTTGTCAAGAATAATCTTTATTTTTGATCTTTTTTTCGATTTTTTAACATAAATAGAAGTATTGATAATTTTTTAAATAAGGAATTTGTTAAAAAACAATGAAAGTTCTTTCTAAAAATAAAAAACAAATTAACAGAAAATAAATACGTACGTAATTGAACTTTTAAGACCTTCATGTTCTCTTTGATTACAAAAATAGCAATTATTCTAAAACAACAAGGTTTCTTTATGCGTGTCCTCTTTATTTCTACATAAATATTTATTGGTGTGACATAACGCGAAGTTTACTTAACGTTGGAGTAAGTGTGATGTAATTGATAACAATGCCATGCAATATATAGTTATATTCGTCTTTTTCTTTTCTTTTTTTTTTTTTTAAGACAAGCGTGGCATATGCACCTCATTTATTGAATCCGCAACGAACCTTTTCGTTTTTGTAGCAGAGGAACCAATCCCCAAAAAATCTTGAAATAAGAAAAAAAAGGAAAAAACACTGAACAAGATATCTGAACAAGCTATTTGTAGACGATTCAACAGATTCAACAACGACTTTATGAAGACCTACATTTAGAAATTTAGAATTATCAACATTATCAGATAAAAATTTTGTTTACCGACATTCTTTCATTTCAATCATGCTTTTCTTAAAGAGACCTACTTTGTTGGAATTGGACTCATTCCCAATTGAAATGTACCAACCTGAAAGTAATGAGACAATCCCAATTCAAGCAAACGTAAACCATGATAACTCGACAACCAATGATCGTAAAAATATGAAAATAGCTCGATGGAATCATCGTAATAATCTGCGTCAAATGATAGTAAAATAATATTTCGAACATCGATAGATGATTAGATATTTCAAAATGTTATTCGTTAATAACTTTTTGATCTAACAGTGCTCGGGGCTAATTCCCAAGGAGGATATTATAAAAACACCCTAATTACTTAATTTGTTGGTGTAATCTGTTGTAAATACATTTGTCATATTATTTGGGTAGGGTTAGAGTCGGGTTAAAGTCGGGTTCGGGTAAGTTTATGACTGTACTGCAAATAGAGCTTGGTATCAAATTCTTAAATGTTAAGGCGAGGAATTAGAAATTAATGTGAAACGTGAGCAACAAAAGACATGAATCTAGTTATAACAAAGAAACCATTGCTTGCATTCTTATTCATTTCTCATAATTACTGATATCATGCATATTTAATTAATGATTCTTTCTCTAATTTATTTAATAGGTTTAATTAAAATAATTAAAATTTTCTCATCACCATAATTTATTATTCGTGATCTAATCAGACAATTGGGTTAAAGATTGAAATACGATATGTAAATCCAAAATTTATTTTACGACACCTGATTGGGATATTAGTAATCCCATTGCGTTACAAAATAAAATGTTTCGGGGTTTTAAAAAAATGTTTTATTTTATTACCTTATTTGGTCATTGGGGAGATCGATCACTTTAACGTTTTAAGGTTAAACAATAAAAAAAAATATATATTCGAAATTTGGATTCTCGACGATTACATTCAAGTGCTTCGGGGCGGAAACTAGCCAAGAATATGACGAATTTAAATAATACATTTAATTAAAATTGGTAATGATCAAACATCCATAAAATATATATGATATAGCGCCAAAACTCGTAGCACATTAAATTGAGTTTTAAAGGACAAAAATAAAATGTCAACATAACACATGTAAAGGACTACCTACATTTGAGGGGCACAAACGAAATTTCTATTTCTTTGTTTTCTCAAATTTCATTCTTCCATTAAATACTACATCTTTGAAAAGCTTTAACAATACCGATTTTTTTTTGTTTTTTTTATATCATTGTTCGGCCGCCAAATCGATTAAACTTAACAAAAAAAAAAAAAATCAGAGACATTTCCTAAACTGTGGAAAATTTACATGCACACACATAGGAAATGTGAATTCAACGTTCGCATGGAAGATTCTTTTGGATATCAAGCATTAGCCACATACATTTTGTGAAGCGAACCATACAAATTATTTTATATGAAAACGATGTTTTAATGATTTTCTTTTCACCAAGTTGGAAAGATCTGAAACTATTTTCCATAAGGAGAAGATGGGTGTCATTACTGTTTTCGTATTGTTGTCATCGAATTTCAAGCAAGCCACATACAGTAATTCCATATCTTCCATATTTGAAGAAAGAGGGCTGGAGATAATGTATTTAGAAATGTGGTGTAGCCCGAAAAATGATGTTTTATGTTTTTTCATCGTTTAGGCGATGTTAAAACATTCTAAATTTTAAAACGGTGAAAAAAAAAATAAAAAAAAACCAGATTTCTTTTCAACATACTGGTAATTTAATCATTCGTTTTATTATGACTTGTGGCGAATTCATAATTCATTGGCACCGTATGAGATTTAATGTAATTAAAAAATGAAGATTACATTCATGATCATCAAACCTTTTTTGCTTTTTTTTTTTTAAAAAAAAAAAATAAAAAAAGGTTAATGAAACAATATTATCCTGTTTCATTTAATTTTAGTGATTTGTTATTTTCCATTAGGAAAAAAAAAACGATGCACTAGAGTCGGACGAAATGACTTTAAGGGGTTAACTACAAGGTCTTCTTGAACAAAAATACCCAACATCCTATTTGGGTAAATAAGTGAAACTACAATAATCAATACACAAATTAACGGCCGAATAAGGTACATGATAATCCTATTCTAAAATATCGAGAAATTATTATATATAAGGACCAAACCCAATTCTCAAAAACTCATCAAAAACTTTCAAAAGCAATAATAATAATAATAATCTAACCAAAGCCTTCATTTTATCCTTAACCCTAGTGGTCTTATCTCCTTTCTAGCACACATTTCCTTATTCCACTGCGTGGTCGAAATAAAAAAAAATAACAGTCAACCTTTTTTTTATAAAATTCTTTAAAACAAGTTTTACTTTGTAATAAAAAAAAAAAAATAAAACAATTCAAAAATGGTTGCTCCACGCTTCACCAAAATCTTCTCTATTGCTGTGCTAGTCGCATTCTTGGTCTCCTCGGTTGAACCGGCAGGAGATGTTGAATGTCCCCCCAAAACCCAATCCGAACAATACGCTAAAGAAAAAACCGAAAAATTTATCGTTATCTTTAAAAATGAATCTTCTGCTAAAACAGAAGAATCGATTATGGCAAAGCATTATAAGATCATGAAGGAATGTTACAACAAACGTGTTGAACACGTACTCGAAAGTAAATCATCATCTAGTAGTAAAGATAATGACGTTCTTAGAGATTTCTCTATCGGTTCCATCCAAGGATATTCCGCAAATTTTGGGAACTCTTTCGTGAAAGAACAACTTAAAAAAATGAAAGGTCTCGCTATCATTGAAAAGGATGCTAAAGTCAAAATTAATTATGCTGTTCCCCAACTTTATAAACGTACAGTAGTAAAAAACCCAACACCAAATATTGATCGTGTCGATCAAGCTAAATTTCCCTTGGACAAGTCATTTACATTCCCGGATACTGCTGGAGAAGATGTTGACATTTATATCATTGACACTGGTATTTCAACCAAGCATAGTGAATTTGGAGGTCGTGCCAAGAGCGGAGGTGCTTTCTGCGAAGGTTGTAATGAAAATGATGAAAATGGTCATGGTACCCACGTCGCTTCCATTGCTGCAGGAAAAACTTTAGGAGTGGCAAGAAAAGCCAACCTCATTGCTATTAGAGTTTTGGACGCTGATGGTAGTGGCTCAAATGCCGGCGTTATTGATGGTATGACCGCTGTAATTGATCAACACAAGAAGAGTAAAAACAAGAATTCAGTTGTCAACATGTCGCTCGGTGGTTCCTTCTCGGCTGCTGTAAACACTGCTGTCAAGGCTCTTACCGATGCTGGTGTTCATGTCGTCGCCGCCGCCGGTAACGAAGCTTCAGATTCTTGCACTAAATCACCTGCATCTGCTCCTTCCGCTATCACCGTTGGCGCTACCGAAGCTAAGTCCGATGACATTGCAGACTTTTCAAACTTTGGAAAGTGTAATGATATTTTCGCTCCAGGTGTTGATATTACTGGTGCTGACTTTAATAATGATAAAGGTAAAGTAGTTTTCTCTGGTACATCCCAAGCTTCCCCACATGTTGCCGGTACAGTAGCCCTTGTAATTGCCAAGGATGGTAACCAATCCCCAGCTGCCATGGCAAAGTCGATCATCGATTTATCAACCAAGGGTGTTGTTAAAGGTCTCAAGAAGGGAACTCCAAACACGTTCTTACGTGTTCCAGCTGCATAAATTAAAAAAAAATTGTAGATATTTAAAATTTTCCTTTTGGCTTGGTTGGGTTTTATTCTTTTTGCTTTATACAAAATTCATAAACTTGTTTTTGAAAAATAAGGTTTCGGTTTCTTACCTTAATCACTTTCTTTTAACCTTTCTATTTTATTTTTTTTTGTACCTGTTAAATAATAATTAATTTATAGAATAGAAAAAAAATAAAAAAACAATTTGTTAAAAATATAATAATAATAATAAAAAAAAAATATTTAAAACAAAATAAATTATAAACAGTGTATAAAAATTTTTTGCTTCATACTGCCGAAGAAGCGGCGCAAATTCGAGAATAATAATTGTTTTATAAAAAGTAGGGAATTTCAATTTTTCTACTGATGTATAACAACTAATTAAAAATAGCTTTTTTCTGGCTAAGTTCATTCATAATGCGTGTATTTTATAATCGTAGAAAAGATTTGCTACTAAAGTAATTTTCATTGCTTAACGGTATATAAATTATTTTATAAAATAGAAAGCTTTGTAAATCTTGGAACGACAGGAATTAGATTTCCTCTAGCCTGGAACTAAAGTTTTAATCGCTCTTCTATTTTCCTTTTTCTTCAATAAGTATTTTATTTTTAATAAAAATTTGTCAAGCAAAGAAGTTATACAAACGAATAATTTTATAATTTGTAAAGCGTTCTTTTAATTAGAATATACGTATTATTACAATTATCTCGACAAATTCAGTAAAGCTACCAATAAAAAAAATCACACCTACCGTTACAGTTCATAAGAGTCAGGCGTTAACAGTAACATTATTAGAAAAAAAAAGAAAAAGTATATATATGTTGTAGGTAGGAATAGAATCTATGTGGATTCTGAATCCACACGGAATGTTGACCAGAATTAAGATTAATTAAGATTAGTGTTGGGATTAGAGAAACCACATACAACATATATAAGATTATGTAATATTTTCAACGATTGTGGCAACTTTTTTTTGGTGTTTGATGACGCTTGTTTCCTTGTGAAAAGAAAAAAACTAGTGAGCTTTCTTTAGTCAGCATTTAAAAAATACATTACACTCACAAACTGATTGTGAGGACTTGTTAAGAGTTCGTCTTTTCAAAAGCAAAAAAAAAAGATAATTACTAGTAAATCAGCTTTGAAAATGTCAAGTGAATGTGAATTGTGTGGTTTAGATCTTGAGTGGCCCACAAGCCCCTAAGACTTACAAACTCGAATGACCTACAGTCTGCAAGTTTGTCATATATAAGTGACCTGCAATCCTTCCTACCCGCAAGCCAAAGCCAGATCGACAGTCTACTTACACTTCAAGTAGTCCCTAATATTTCTTAAAATGCTTGTTGTATTCTTATTAACGTATTCTGCATCAAGAACTTCTTCCAAATCCTTTGCTAATGCATTGTATAATTTCTGCAAATTATCACAGTTCAGAAATTCTTTTTGGTAATGAGTGAATATGTCATCTGCTGTTATGGAACTGTTTTTGGATAGACTTCAGGACAAGGAATTAGAAAAGAGGTTTTCTAAAGAATGACACTTTATCTTCTGGCATTATTTGAACTTTTTTCCAAATTTTTGCTTAGAATAAAAAATTCGATCAAATAAGAGATGTAGTCTTAAAAATGTATCAATTTTTTGGAAAATAAAATCAAGTCAATGGTGAAGAAACACTGATATTATTCATGGAAAAAGAATATGAAAGTTCTGGAAAGTTAGTTGGACATGATCTTCAAAAAGATCTTTTGAGTTCTTTTTCTAGTTCATATACTACCAAATTTTGTCATAATTACATATAGTATTTATAACTTTATCAACTAGCTAGTACTGGAGGGCTTCCTAAGAAACTACTTATCCTGTGATCTGTGATTTATACTTCAGAGTTAAATTTTTGCTTCCAACTAATTTGTTAAGATAACTTCAGTGAATTCTTTTACAAATAAGTCTTTGTTTTTGACAAAAAGACTAGATTCATCTGGTTGAGCTTTATTGTAAAATATACTGAAAGTAACCCTAATGATATCTTTAAGTTCTTTTTTTTCCAGAAAAGTAATTAATATTTACTAAATCTTTTTTTCAAGGCAAAAATATATCTAAGTTAGGCAATTTAACGATAGTTAGTTTATTTTTTTGCCTTTAAAAAACCTTCATTACTTCTAAAAAACTGTAAAATATATTATAATCTATAAAAATTAAATAAATTATACAATATAAAAAGGAATGATAATAAAATAAAAAAATAAGTTCTGTGACATAATCAGTTTGTGTGATGTAATCATCACATCTGATTGATTAATGTTAAATCAAATTATAAATTTTTTTTAAATTTTATTATTTGGCAGAACAAAAGTTTTTTATTATTAAGGATAGTGTAACAGTTTGATCATGAAATTGAGCGATATAATAAGTATTGTAATTTTACAATACTAATGACTGAAAATTAGTATTGATGCAAGATTAACAAAGGATTTAGCTTTAAGACTTTACAATATGATTTATAGAGAACTTCTGAAGGTTTATCGATCAAATGTATTTTTAGAGACAAAGGTAATTATAGGTAAATGATAGAGTTTTATTAAATAGAATAATTATTACAAGTGTATTTGTTAGCATATAAATGTGTTTAGTATTTATCTTATTGGCGATAGTACTAAAAATAATTCTCTACTTAAAAGTCTAATGTTATTGAAGTTCTCAAGCTACCTTATTTATAAGAAATTTGATAATAAAAATAAATAAAATAAAGAAATATAAGATATATAACCGATAATTAATGTTAATTAATTATTAATAAAAAAGAAAGTTCCAGTGTTTTCTAGGTCTTCGCATAACCTTTACTTCTAAGATATCTGCCATTTTTTAAATATTTGACATATATTATATTCCAAGTAGAGTTGTAGTTATATACTGAGTCCTCATTAGTTATTTAATATTATCTTCGAATATAAAAAATACACTCTTTAATACAATATAATAATGTTTAGATAACTTAAAATCTTTCTAAGTCATACATTCAGTATCAATTATTTGTCCTATATTATAAAGATAAAATAATAATTCTCTTCTATTCTTCAATGTTATTTGTCGTCGAGCATGTTAAAAGAATATTTTTATCTTTGTACATACATCTTAAGAGAATATTATTAGTAAGATGGTAATATTATATTTGTTGAAGTTACTGCTAATAAATCAGATATACGCTAGTATGCTTGTGTCATTTCTTAAAACAGAATTCTTCTTTACTAATTTTCTTTATATATATATCCAAATCAATTACTAATAAAATAAAATAAAAGTATTATAAATAAACTAAAATAGCAATAATTATCCTAAATAATAATTTATATAATAACTATCATTGGTTCTATTTCTTGTTTGTTATATTGTTTTAAGCAATTTCAATGTATGGTTTTTTTGACTATTCGTCACTCAAGGGATCTTAATTTGTAGTTATTAAATCCAACTATATCATAGATGTAATATAGTCCCATCTATTGAGCCAATTTTTAATCTTTCTGAAATTCAGTGGTCATTGTATCGATCTTTTTATCGTTCTTGTGTCTGATTCATATTATCAAGTGCATTCTGTTTATCTAATTCAAGTTTATCAATCAATATTATTAATCTACTTATCAAGACATAATCTATCTCTTCTTCATTAGTGTTGACTAAATTTATTTGTAAATCGACTGGTAATACTGCCTGTTATTCATACATAAAATAGAATAGAATGTAATTGATACTTTTATATTTCATTGTACAATAAGCAAAATAGTACTGATGAAACATAATTATCCCATTCATTCTCTTGGTTATACACTAATTTAGCTAAGCACTCTCTAATAGTACGATTGAATCTTTCTATTATACAATTAATTTGAGTTCAGTAAGGTGATGTCAGCTGATATTTTATTTGAAATTGTTAATACAATTGATTAACTACTTAGTTCATAAAGGACATTCCTTGATCAGTTAATATTTTTCAAGTACACTGTGTCGACAAATAACCCCTTTATACAGAAATTTAACCACTGTCTTTGCTTTGATATCCTTAATAGCTCTAGCTTCTAGCCATTTTGTAAAGTAATCTATAGCGATAATGATGTATCTATTTCCAGCTTTGGTAATAGGTAATAGTCCTTTAATATATAATCCTACTTTATGAAAGGGTGCCGCGATGGTGATTATTACTAAGTTTTCTTAGTAAATTGAAGTCACGATAATGGTTATTACTAAGTTTTCTTAGTAACCAAAATCACAATAGTGGTTTTTTCTTAGTAAAACCGAAACTGCAGAGTTATTTTACTAAGTTTAATAGTAAAAATTCACCTGTTACTAAACTTTATAAAAGCTATTTTTGAAATTTTTTAGTGCAATTACTAATAATTTTCTTAATTAAAACTTTAGAATAACTTTATTTTAATATATCATTGTAAAAATTAAAAAAAGTTTTATATTTGATTTGATTTGATCAATTCAATTCAATTCAATTTAATTCGATCAAATATTTGATTCAATTTAATTTGATTCGATTCAATTCGATTTGAAAAAATCAAATCAAATTCAAATTGCTTAAATATTTGATTCAATTCAATTTTGTGAAATCTTAGATTCTAATAATTCATCGATCCTTAGTAAAGAATATCGATCTTTTATAGTGACATTATTCAATTTTCTGTAATCTACACAAAATCTCATTTTTATTTTTTTTTGTACGAGTACTACTGGCGAACTCCATTGGCTTTGTGATAGTTGTATTATTTTTTGTTCTAGTATACTCTGAATTTCTTGTTGAATATACTGATCATCTTTGCTTGATGTTCAATACGGGTTTAATGCAACTGGTGGTATCTCTTCAATAAATATATAATGTTAATGTAGATCAGAATATATAAATTTTTGTGTGGTAGTAGCAAAACTATTAATGTTTCTATAAAGAAAATTCTTTAATTTTATTATTAGATCAGTCGACAGATTTTCACATGTAGTATATTTTTCTATGTTTTCACCAATTTCTATATGGACATCATTTTTTTTGAGTTGAACCTTATAAGTCGATTGTATTTTTATGCTATTCCTATAATAACATCCTTCATGATTTCCCTATAATTAATACACTGGTTTTCAGTCTCTATTGTTTTTAGACATCAACATATAACTGGTCTTTTCCAATTTTTATTCTATTGTATGTTTAGTTCATATTCTAAATGTTGTAGGTATATTTCAGGATATTCCTTTCCATTTATATGCATAATGTGGTTCTTCTCCTTAGAGATGATAACAAAATATCATTGTATATCAATATCTTTGTCTTCATCCTCGAACTCAAGTTTGTTTGAAGTTATTTTAGCTTTTATGGGTGTAAATCTTCCTGGATTTATATCTTGAATGCAAGTTATCAGTGTTATTACAGGGTAATTATAACAAGAAAATATAGCTTAGCAAATGATCGACATGTTTCACAAAATTGATCTACTAGAAGACGATCTACAGAATTGATGATCTGCAAATTATTTACACATGTAACGTTAGAAATGTTAAACAAATGTTATGTAACTTACAGTCTAGTGTTTTTCCATATACAGCAGTTTCAAATATAAAAATGATCTGTATTCTAGAAATCTTATAATTCAGTAACACAAAATTTTACTGGCTATAATGTAATGATAATCTAATAAAAATTAGTTGTACAAAATGCAGATTAAAAAAAATTTTATTGAAGTTGACTTTTCAATTTGCTTCATTACTACTTGTTAAATCTCGAACCTCTTGTAGAATAACTAATAATTCATCCTTTTTTTTTCGATTTTAAACCTTAAAATTGTGGCCAATTAGTCTCATTTAAGAATCCAATTAGTGATTCAATTATTATTATCAAATCTTCCTTCTTTATTGAACTTTTCGCTGATTGTATTTATTCCTCATTAAAAGTAACAGGAATGGAACAGGTAATTAATCGTTTCATTGTCCACCTAAACTCTCAAAGTGATGGTTATTTTCATGTGGATTTAAGAAATTATTTTTTCTTAATTCGATTCAGAACTGTTATGATTCTATTTTATAATCAGGATGTGTTTGTGGACCGCTTTTAGCATCTGTACATCCGATTGTATCAAATAGTCTCTTCTGTAATTGCTGTCAAGGATAAAAATGATCTGCAAAAGTAAAAGAGATAAGTAGTGTAATTAAATAATATCAAATTTATTTTTATTACCTTTATAAATTTAATACCATTTCTTGCTGCCATTTTCCAATGCTTTTGAGTTGGTATAGGCGAAATAAGCATCTTCAGCATTTTATTCACTTCCTCAAGTATAGCATCTAATCCTTGATGCTGATTCGACCATCCTGATCGTGATATAACTGAATATGATTCAATGAGTTGCTGAATTTCAGGACGAAGACACATTAGTTGTTCTTCATCAGCTGCTTTAATTTCTTGGTAAATGGAATGTTGCCTGACAGACCAAATAGGGAAAAATGCTTTATGCGCGGCTGATTTAAGTAAGGGTTGATTAAGTCTAACTTCAGCATGAAAATTTATTATGATCTGCAAATAAAAAAAGATCTAAAAAAAATAAGTATTAGTTTTTTTGAATATTTTCAATTATTAAATTATAAATTACTAACATACTTGTTCATATTTTAATTTATATAGCTCGTCTTATTGGTTTTTAATCCAATCAAGATATCCAGTAACAGTCAGACTAGGATTTGAAGCAACATAAGGCTAAACTAATTTCATAGCCATCGCGTGCTGATAAATATTACAAATTGAATCCATACTTTGTGATGATCAACACACTTTTTAAAATACCCTAATTGATTCTCGGTTTTGTAGCCTTGATATTGTGCAAAATATCATAGATCAATGACCTTGAATTTTATATTATCAAATTATAGGATTAGATTTATTTAAAACAGTTCGAAACAATAATGTCTTACCTTTTCCTCTCTCTCCTTCTCTTTTTTCCTCTTCCTCTCTCCCTTTTTCCTCTCTCCCTTTTTCTCTCATAAAGTAGACTGAGTATTAATGAATTTTTGTGCATAACAGTAAGGAATTCCATTGCAAACTATCGCAATCCATTTTCGTTCACCTTTATTAATTCCACTGATTTCTTTAATATGATCTATGACTTTTTGAACATTCTTAATCGAGTTTGGATTTATTGATAAAGGATCTGGAATAAGAATGTCAGGTACATTAACATCTTTCTGGATTGTACTGATTGGATCTTCAGAAGTATTCATTTCAGACAGGCAGGATTTAAAGTTAGAGGTTTGATCGTATTTTGTTTTTCAAATATTGTTTGATCAATTGCTTCTTGTACTTCAGCAAGTGAGGGAAGTTTTGCTTTACATTGAGAACATTTACGTCTTGAATTTTCAATCTCATCTTTACCGCATTCCTGATACTATTTTTGTTTATCTATTTTCATATTCTAATTTGTTATTAAATAATCAATGGTAATTATATTTTTACTTTTTTCTATGCATGCTTCAGTTAAGATAATAGAAAGATATTCATGAAGTTGTTGATCAATTAATATTTGCATATTTAGAGTAAGATCAAACAATTCTTGAATTTGCAATATATTAAGAGGGTTTTTATGTAATCAAGGATCTTTAAGATTTTGTATTTGATTAATAGAATTATAATTAAATAAAACGAAACTTATAACAGTATGATAAATAACTGTGTTATAACCACGATCTAAATAATTTTTTGACCCTTTTGTTTATTATCAAATGCTATAAATATTAAACTCTTTGGAAATGATTGTGGTTCACTAGCTAAATTTCTTGTCATTTAATAAATTTAGTATAACCTTCGGAGCTTATAAATGGTTATCAATATCAATAACTGATTTAGATCTTGCAATAGAATACTTAATTACTGATGCTGCTAAATTGATAGCAGATACATATTTTAGATATCTAATGCCATAAATTACATCAACTGCTATAGTACATTTGAATAACTTTTCACCCTTATGTTGATTTTCATTTTCATTATATATAAGAACTTCTATAAATTTCACAATAACTGGATTTCGTTTAATAAGTCATTAGGAAGGAGAATATTTTAAGAGACTATCTAACTGAAATCTTTCATGATTTTTTATTAAATTTATTATGTCATTATATAAATTTTCTCTCTCTTTTTTAGCAATATTTATTATTGCTTCAATATGATCTTCAAATTCTAACTTTTTTTTTAACATTTCATTTTCAGATAATAATTGTAAATTAAGATTCTTTAATTCAATAATTTGATTTTCATATTCTGGATCTGGTAACATTAACTTTTTTTTTAATATTTCATTTTTAGATAATAACTGTTTATTAATTTGCTCTAATTCACTAATTTGATTTTCATATTCTAAATCCGGTAAAGATACTTAAATTCTGAAATCACAGAAGGCATTATTGTTAGAAAGCTTTATTCTTTTTTTTTATTTTCTTTAGAATCTAAAAAAATTAAATTATTGGCTTTCTTAAATTGATTAATAAATGAATCTTTAGCAACAACATGATTATAATGTTTTTCACATAAAGAGTAATTTTCTAAAGAACCAAGTAATAAATTTAATTCAGAAATATACTTAGCTAAAATCGTAATTTTATCCATTGTCGTTTTAGTTGATGCATGTTGCCATCTTTGTTTTTCTTTAACTTCACATTGTACTAGTTGGCTTTCCGAGTATTTACTAACAATAAAATTAAGTATACAAGGTAAATTTTTAGCTTCCAGTTTTGAAGTTGTCATTGCTAAATAGTATATATATAATATAAAAAAGTATAATTTTAGTCTAAAAATAATTTAAAAACTGCTTTGTAAAGTTTCATGGATTCGCGTGGATTATGAAATTACGTGTTTAAAAGAATATATTTTAATAGTTTATTTTTTATAAAAAAAAATTTTTGTGCGATCAATTAGAGTATCAAAATTTTTATAAAAATGATTATTAAACACCAATTAAATTTAGAGGCGTGATTAAAAAATATTCTAGATTCGATTTCTAAATTTAGTATAAATCCAGACTGTATTATATAGAAAAAATACTATATATACATTTTTTTAATTTAAAAAAAAAATCTCGTTATAATTTATATTTGATTATGTAATATTAGTCATAATTCATATAAAAATATATTACATCAAATTGCATCCTATAGAAATTGTTAAAATCAAATTAATATCAAATCAAAATTTCAAAATTTAAATATAACTTATTAATTTCTTTTATCTTTCTTATTTAATCAATTTAATCAATTAATATAAGCTTTTAATTTTTATTACACTTATTTTATATAATTTATTTATATGTTTATTAATTTATTTTATTTTTATATTTATATTAGTTTTATAAAAAATTTGAATACTAAAAAAAAAACTGAAAAGATGTAAATATAGTGAATTTATACTGAAAAAATATAGAAGATTTGCTAAAAAAATGGATTCTAAACATTTTTTATTAAAATTTTAATTTTATTGCATTTTAATCTAATATTATCAAAAATTAAAATGCAATAAAAATTAAAATTTTAATAAAAAATGCTTAGAGTCTTATTTTCATAACAAACCTCCCATATATCTTAATACTGAAAAAATACTGAAAATTACATAATTTAGTATTTTATATATTTTTAATTTTAAGACACAATAAATTTATCTAATTATGTGATTTTAAACTTATTTAAAAGACTGCATTTTTTTAATAATATTAAAATCACATAATTTGAACAAATAAATGACAAAATATTATATCTCAAAATTAAAAATATTTAAAGATACTAAATTGTATAATTTTTAATATCTTTTTTAGTATAAATTCAATATGTCTGTATCTTTTCAATATTAAAATTTTTTAAACAATATTAATGATATTAAACTTACCTGAATTTAAAAAATAAAAAAATTATAAAAATAATAATATTCTTTATATAAGCTTTATATTATTAATAAAAATAACAAATTTTATTTAAGTATTTCTAAAAGTTATTACCTATTATCTTAAAAAACCTTTAAAATAAAGTTAATAATATATCAAAGTAAATTGATTTCAAAAAATAAAAGATTAAAATTAGGTTAAATTATTACTTGATTTACTTGATTTAATAAAATACTAATTTTTTGAAATATAAATATATTGTAAAATCATAATTTGCAAAGTTTGCTAGAAAAATGAAGCTTTAAGTATTTTTATTAAAATTTTAGTTTTTATTACATTTTAATCTAATATTATCAAAAATTAAAATACAATAAAAATTAAAATTTAAATAAAAAATTGCTTAGAATTCATTTTTCTAGCAAACTTCTTATTTATAAAGTTCAAATTAGAAAAATCTATATATCAGAACTTCATTATAGTAAGTAAATCTTTTTATCTAAAATTTATTACTTTTTGTTTTTGATATAACTTATAACATTTCAAATAAAAAATAAATTCTAAAAATGGTTTTTATCTAAAATTTTTCTTGTTAAATACATTAAATCTGAAAAGTCTTTAAAATTATTACTTCTAATTTCTGTTAAAACTAATTTTATAAATTTTATCAAAGCTTTAGTTGCTATTTAGTAATATTAAATCTTGTCTAAAATTTTATAATCTAGAGAAAAATCCATAAAAATCAACTATTAATTATTAATTCTAAATTTAGTGAATTTTGAAATAACTTATAATCAGATGATATATAATTTTCAAATATTTTAGAATCTTTATTATTACTTGATTTACTATTATTTAATTTTATTTTTATTACTACTACTACCTAAAATATTATTTTTTTCAATAGTTTATTCAAAAAAGTCAGAAGGCTCATCTAAAATCCTGAATAAGCCAAGTCAAATTTTTCAAAAAAATTTGACTTGTTTAATTTGAGTCAAGTTTCAAGTTAAGCTTGACTCAATTCAAGATAACTCAAGCTAAACTTAAGCCAAAAGTTAAGTAAAACTGAGCTTAAAGTTTAGCCTAAAGTTAAGTTAAACTTAAGTAAATTTGAAAAAAAATTTTAAAAGTATAAAAAAATTATTCTAATAGAATAAAATACATTATTTTAAAAGAATAATAGAAGTTTTGTTCTGATAAAAAGATAAATCTTTATTTTAAAGAAATAATAAATAATAGAACTATAATATATTGTTCTTAAGAAATAATAGAAAAATTATTCTGATAAATGATAATATATTATTTTAAAGGAATGTTAAATAAGATTATTCTAATAGAATAATAAAAGATCATTCTAAAGGAACAATTTTATTTATTATTCCTTTAGAATAATGTATTTTAATTGGCTGATATTTTTCAAATAATTCTAAATAGTTTTGAATCAAACAATTGAATATATTTTTTAATACTGATATTGAAAATGAAATGACAAAGAATATATTATAAATAATGAAGAAATTGTTGAAGATAAATGGAGGTAAATATTAGTAATCAGTAATGATAAGATTTTAATGATAATTATCTTAAAATAAATAATAATTAATAGTATTAATCATTTTAAATATTAGATATAACAATAATAACAATAATATTTTTATTTTTTAATACTTAGGAAAATGAGTATAATAATTTTCTTTTTCTTTTGCTTATTTGCTTATTTTTTATAATTTTTAAATTTAGAAGGTAAGTATAACATTTTTAAGTTTTTTTTTATTTGCTTTTTTTGCATTTTATTTTTTTTTATTTTTTTACTTTTTCAATAATTGGAAAGACAAGTATAACTAACAATTTGCTTTTCTTTTTGCTTATTTACTTTTATTTTAGTTTTTTAGTTTTATAATGATTTAACTTTTATAATATTATTTTTTTTATAATTCAAAAAGCTGATAGAAATTATTTTTACTTATTTATTTGCTTATTTGTTTTTATTTTTAAATTAGAAAAGCAAGTGAAACATTTTTAAATTTTTCTAATTATTTTTTTTTAAATTTTGTTTTTTTTTATTTTTGTTTATTTTAAATTGGAAAAGTAAATAAGATATTTTTAATATTTTTTATTTACTTTGTTTATATTTTGAATATAATAAATATAATTAATAAAAAAATATTATTTTCTAAAATTGTAAAATAAAATAAATGTAAATGTAAATTAAATTTAAATTAAATGAACAATTAATTATTGATTGATGATTTCAGATTAACTCTGATTTTACTAATTAGAATTAATATAAATCAGACATAAATTGTTTATCAATCATTTATCTGATTTTTAGCTGATTTAGGTTCTTTTTAATCAGTAATAATAATTAGATATTAAATTCAATTGCAATTTTAAATTAGTTATAAAACAATCCTTCAAAATTTTCATTTTAAAAAATTTTTATTTAGCAAATAATGAAAATTTTAATTTTTTACTATTCAATCTTACCTCCTATATACACAACAAATAGAAACTCTTAATTATTAATAAATTTTTTTTCATAATGCTTGACTAACATTTTTATTCACAAGCTGCATATTATAAAAAGCTCCTAAAATTATTCTGAAATATTAACGTTTCAATTAATTTAATATTTTTTATTAGTAATAATATATTATATAAAGAAAGCAATTATCAATATTTTTTTTTTTAATATTACATTTAGTTTATAATATATATATTATTTATACTTATAATTTTATTCATAAAATTTAAATACTTTAAAACTATTAAACATTATAATAAAATATATTAAAACTTTATTGTATACTCAGTAATAAGAAAAAGAAAATAAAGAAAATATTTTATTTTATAATCTGTATTTAAAATATAAATAAATGTTTATATGATATAATAGCATATTATTTATCTATAAATTAAAGAATTTAAGTTATTAACAATAACTACTGTATATACATTTTTAAATTAAATTTATTAATATTTTAAATTTAAAATTTTATTTTTAACTTTATTTTACCCAAAATATTTTTACTATAAAAAGTTTTTTTTTATTTTTGCATCGCACGTATCCCGGAGTATTTACCATATATATTGTATAACGAATAACAAACAACTCGGTACAATAAATAATAATTTTAGAAACATTGTACAAAAGATAAAAGTCGGAGATAAATAAAATTTTATATTGTGCGAATCTTTTATACATAAGTGATTTTCTTCTTTGATATGGCCCATATTGTATTAGGTTGTTTTTATTTTGTTAGATATGATCTCGAACTAGTTCTGATTTGGAATAACTTGGAATTACTAATTCTGAAGAAAATTTTCTTATTTATTTAAGGCAAAAGTTTCAAGACATTGACTAATCTTTAGTAACTGTACATCTGCATAAATCACGAGAATAGATTTAGTAATTTAAGGAAAGATATTTTATTTTGTAGGTATAAGAAATTTACAATCAATCATGGCGTCATTTAAAGTTTACTAATTTTAGAAAGACACATTTTTTTCGATCATTTATTACATATATTTAGATTTAACTTGATGTAATGTTGAATCAACATCTTTTTCATAGGTCAAAAGTGTTGGTCTCAAGAATCCTGTATATAATTTTTGTGCCCCTTTAGTTTGCGGCATGAATAACCTAAATGAAAAGAACGAATTTGTTAAAAATAATAATTAAATAAATAAATACAAAAAAAATTTTAATCACCAGAGGAAAAATAACGTTTTGAGAAAAAAGTAAGATGGAAGCCAAAATAATATATTATCAGAGAAGAATTCAATAGTATGAATGAATCCTAACACAGTCCTAGATAATAAAATTAATTTAAATAAAATATAGGTATATAAAGAAAAAAAAATTTTTTTTCCGTAATAAATTTACCAATAAGTTAACCACTGGGTATCGTCTTCCTTTTTCGCGGTCTCGATAGCCTTGAAAGAAGAATACGCTATAAAAGAACACCATGTTCGTTAATAAAGCTTTAAATTATCCTTTCAATCATACAAGTTGATACATACCAGGATATCCCCAAGCGACCAAGTTACTGAATAATTGTCCCCAAACGTTAAAAAATAACAATAAAATGACGAAACCAGCCACACCTTCAACCAAATATGTTTTGGGCACGTTACATTTTTCTGATATTTTAACAATTTGTGGATATTTAGACAACTCTCTATCAAGTTGAAGTTGATAACTTTTAATTTGTTCCATTTTTTGTCTGTTTGAAATATTGGACAAGAGGAGAATTGGAATTGGAAAATCAATCGTGTCGGGGACTTTTTATTTGTTAAATACGAGTTTTCTCCCTGTTATGATTGACAGTTTGACAATATTCCGTTATTACCATAATTATCAACCATTTACTAATTATGTCTCATTTCTCAACGATCTTTTACCTTATTTTTTACATAATCAGGGGAAAAACGATCCCCCAAGCAACATATAACACGTGTAACACGGATCGGGATATATCAATGCATCATGCATCACGGGAATCATAAAATTAAAAAATTTTTTTTTTGGTTTTCTCAGAAAAAAATATATATCCATTATGGAAAATAACGACGTAATTGAAGAGATACCTAAAACAACTTCTGACCAAATTAACGATAATGTAAATAAGTCGGAAAGTAGTTCCAAATCAAGGAAGAAAAAGAAGAAACATAAAAAGTCCACCATCGAATCAAAAGCGAATACAAATGTAAATAAAGATGATTTAGATGAAATAGTAGAATTCATATTAAGGCAAGTAGATTATTTATTTATCTTTACTTCCCTAGACAAAAACATTCATTCTAAGTAAAAAAAAACTTTTCTATTATTTCAACAATAAATAGCGAAAATCCAACAACTACTAAAACATGTTCTGTCCCAAAATGTAAAACATCAAAAGCTATTATGGATTTCACCTGTCAGTATTGCAACATGAAGTATTGCATGGCACATCGGTAAGTTTGTTAATTGTGATCTAAAGAAACAGATCAAATGATTAAAATAATTTTATTTATAGGCATCCTGAGGCGCATTCACCTAAATGTGTCGAAAAAGCTAGAATTGCTGCACATTCCAACTTTAAACAAGAGTCAATTCGTGTAATATCTCAGGAAAGAAATAATCCTGGTTCAACAAATGCAAAAGGTTTTAGCACTGATAAAAGTAAAGAAGAATTAAAGAAGCGTTATAAAGAAAAATTAGATAAAGCGAGACGAAATGAAAGGGGTGGTTTATGATACGGTGAATTATAATTATTGATGTTCATTTTCTATCGAAAATATTCGAGAATAAAATTTTTGTACAGTTGTAATTTTAAAAATTTTTTGTCGATAATGCATTATCACGTGTTATTTTGATTTTTAATTTACCGAGTACCCGACAACTCCGACAACCCGG